TCCGAAAATTCAAGAAGATGATGCTCAAGAAGGGAGCCAAGAAGAACACTCCACCCAAATGCTATGGGTGTGGTGAAATTGGACACATCAAACCAATGTGCCCAAAGCTCAAGAACGAGAAGGACAAGAAGGCACCGAAGAAGCAGCGTGCCTACATTTCTTGGGAGAACGACGGCTCCGGGAGTGAAGACTCGGAAACGGAAGAAGTGGCCAACTTGTGTCTCATGGCCATTGAAGATGGTGATGCATCAAAAGAGGTAAGTGATCAAGAACCTTCTCCCAATGATCCTTTAACTCTTAATGATGTTGTTTGCATTGTTGAAGATTTGGTAAGAATGTTCAAAAAGGCCTCCAAAGAAAACAATGAAGTAAAGCGAAAAATCCTAATTTTTGAGAATGAAATCAAAGAACTCAAAAATATAAATGATAAACTTAAACAAGAAATTATCTCTTTTAGAAAAAGGCCACAAGAACCTTCAACTACTTCTTCTTCTACATGCTCTAGTTGTACATCACTAAAAGCTAAGGTTGCTAGTTTAGAAAGCAAATTGGGAAAGTTCAATAATGCCTCAAACACCTTAGATAAAATACTTAAGCAAAAAATTAGTAATGGTGAAGGACTTGGATATAAGAAAAACCAACCTAGAAAAACAACATTTGTTAAAGCTAGGGGGAATAAAAATGCTAGGATTAACAATCAAACTAGAAAAGCACATCCTAGCAAACCTAGAACTCATTACACTCAACCATATAGGATGAATAATCCAAATGTTATTTGCCACTATTGCAATAAGATAGGTCACATTGCACCCGTGTGCTTCACCAAAATTAGGCATTTTCAACAAACGCACACACATTGCACATATGCTAACCAAAAAGGACCCAACAATATATGGGTACCTAAACCGTCTCCTTGATATCTTTTTGTAGGTGTGCTTGAAGGCTTCGAGTACCTCTTGGTATCTCGATAGCGGATGCTCCAAGCACATGACCGGAGACGCATCCAAATTTAGGAGTTTAGAATATTTCAAAGGTGGCAATGTCGTTTTTGGTGACAACAACAAAGGAAGAATCATTGGAAGTGGCACCGTCGGAAAGGACAATGCTACAACCGTTGAGAACGTTCTTCTTGTTGAGGGCCTCAAGCACAATCTTCTTAGCATTAGCCAATTGTGCGATAGAGGTAACCGTGTCATCTTTGATTCTAGNGGAAGAATCATTGGAAGTGGCACCGTCGGAAAGGACAATGCTACAACCGTTGAGAACGTTCTTCTTGTTGAGGGCCTCAAGCACAATCTTCTTAGCATTAGCCAATTGTGCGATAGAGGTAACCGTGTCATCTTTGATTCTAGAAAATGCATTGTAGAACGCTTGTGTGACAATAAGACTATTCTTTGTAGTAGTAGAGTAGATAACATTTACATGTTTGTTCTTGAAAATTCCCCGTCTACTTTAGCTAAGTGTCTCATTACCAAAGAGGAAGAAACGTGGCTATGGCATCGTCGGATAGCTCACGTTAACATGGACCATCTTAATAAGTTGGTTTCAAAAGACTTAGTAATTGGTGTTCCTAAACTTAAGTTTGAGAAGAATCTAATTTGTGATGCATGTCAAAAGGGGAAGCAAGTAAGGGCCTCGTTTAAGTCAAAGAACGTTGTTTCTACTACTAGGCCATTACAACTTTTGCACATGGACCTTTTTGGACCTTCAAGAACTATGAGTTTAAGAGGTAATTACTTTGGCTTTGTTATCGTTGATGACTATTCGAGATTTACATGGACACTCTTTCTTGCTCATAAGTATGATGCACTTAATGACTTTAAGAAATTCATTAGATTGGTTCAAAATGAAAAAGATTGTCACATTTCATCCATAAGAAGTGATCATGGGGGAGAATTCGATCAAGATGGCTTTGACGCCTTATGTGACGAATTAGGCATTGAGCATAACTTCTCGGCCCCCCGTACACCACAACAAAATGGCGTGGTTGAACGGAAAAATAGGTCTCTTGAAGAGATGGCTAGAACTATGCTCAATGAGGCAAACCTTCCTAAATA